GGTGGCGCATAATTCAAAATAAAACAAAATACAATCAAACATATGTTCTCCTCTCTTCGCAAGACTCTCGCCATTGAAGGTGACTTCCCGTCTGGTGGAAGTCTCTAAAATGGCGAAACGATCGAGAACCAGTAACTGGTAAAATACAACGTTACAAAGTTGACTGTGAGCCTTATGAAGATATTTTTACTTTTTCTATTGAATCACTAAATAAAAATATCCTCCCATAGCAACCGTCATAATGTCATATTTCCTCAATTTTATTTTCTCTCAGCTTTAGATTTGTACGTCGAAGTTGGCAACGAATATCATAATGTGTGTCTTTCTCTTTCTTCCTCTCTTTGTCCAGAGACTACCGGAGACATACTCATGCGTATGAATAAGTTTCCGAATGAAAGTGTCGTAGCGGTGGCGCCTGAACTAATTCGCGCTTGGAGTATGGTATGGAGCGCCGAATTGAATAAATTAACTATTTGCACCCTGTTAATTATCTACAGGTGACTTGCAGGTCAATGATCGATTACCGTTTATTCGATGGATAATAATTAATTTTTACAGATTTTTTGAACATAATTGAAATTTTTATGGGAAGATGAAGCCCAGTTTTCTGTAATTAAATAAATTAATATTAAGGACCCTGTAAATTGGTTTCAGGTGTTTTACAGGTCAATGATAGCTAAAAATTAGCGGTTAATCCATAATAAGTAGATGTTAAGAATTTTTCAAGTTGAGGGCTAACTTCCTATCAATATTTTAACTATTTTACAAAAATCAGTAAAAATTCATTATTATGCATCTAACGGTAATTTAGATCTATCATGGATCTGCAAACCACATGCAAACGATTCACAGAGTCCTCCCAATAGACGAGATCGAGAATCACCCACAGGTCATTGACGCAGGCGTTCACAATATAGACAACACCAACTATCAACAAATGTCGAATCCCCGAAAGTCGGTCTGTCCCTCTGACCTGTCGGTCAGAGACCCCCACCTATACACTCTTATAACCAGAGCATAAAAGAACTCGCGAAAAAGATTTTAAATATTTCCAATAATTATAAAGCGAGATTTAGATTAAAACAACCTAAAGATTCAAAATGTGTTACAATACACACGTCAGACCTTGAAATGTACAATATTTTTAAAAAGTTACTAACTGACGAAAACATCGAATATTATACTTACACTCCTAAAAGTGATAAACCCAAAACAGTGGTTCTCAAAGATCTCTACGGTGACTTTGATGAAAATGATATTATGTCTGAATTGAAGACTTTTAATTTAAAAAATGTCGAAATATTAAAAGTTTCCAAAACTCAATTCAACAAAAATATCAATAATTCAGTATTTCTAATACAAATTTCAAGCCAATCTTCCTTGGCCGATCTAACGAAGATAAAAATAATACTATATCAAAAAATACGTTGGGAACCACTGCACAAAAACTCCTTGTTTCAGTGTAAAAAATGCCAAAGATTTGGACATTCAAGTAGTAACTGCTTTATGGCATTTAGATGCGTGAAATGTAGTCTAGGACATGAGCCTGGAAACTGCATCATAGATAAAAATTCAGATAGAAATATTCTGAAATGTGCGAACTGTAATTCAACAGGACATCCTGCTTATTACAGAGGTTGCCCTTTCTATAAATGCTGTCTTCAAATCCTCAAGAATGATTTGCAAACAATTAATCAGATTAGAGAAGACAAGATAAATAGACTTTCAAAAAAAGTAATTCATGGAACCTCATACGCCGATATTATTAAAAATAAAAATGAAAATCACTTGTATGCGCAAACTGATTCTCATCTAAAATCCACTTGTCAGAATCAATCCCAAGGTTATTCAAATACCCAAAGTCAAAGACCTACTATTAATCAACCAATTGCTGATCCTGTTCGCCTCGATACACCCCCTCCATGGGCGGAAATCATGAAAGAGGAAATAGTATCGGCAATCATGCTGAAGTTAACTAAGCTTACTGAGAAAGTCAATACTAATACCAAAAATATTGCTAAGATACTAGATTATCTAAACCTTGAAGATGAATAATTCTTCAACAAACAATATCCAAATGGACAATAATAAAGATAAAATTCATAGTGAATAACGACTTAGATATCACGTTCGTCGGCGAAACAAAACTAAGTTAATAGAAAAAAAAAAAGAAATAAATAAATAAACAATATTGTTAGGACAGAATGCATTAATTATTGAGTAATTGATGCATTCTTTCCAAATTTTACCTTTGTCATTACTAAAGCGCCTTTTTTTTGAATAATAAGTACAAAATTCTTTCTTATTTTTTTTGGGCGCACTCATTAAATAAATAACCTAAATACTCCTAAGCTGGAGCAACTACCCCAAAGAGGGAATAAAAGCCGTGGAAACACAGTATAATTAAAAAATTAGAATGTCTAAAATTGAGAGTCACTGAGTGACCACTAAACTTTTCTTTAAACCCAAATTAAAACATATTTTTTTATGTACCTGTTTCTTTGAAATGAAAACCAATGTAAATATTGTAAAGAATCTGTTGTTTAATGAATAAAAAAAAAAACATGGTTAAAAAAAAAAAAATCCACAGAGTCCTAATAATTTATTTATTTATTCATTTATCTACAAAATTTGCGGTTGTTGGATATGGAAAATTGAAATGGTATTTGTATTTAGATATCAGTTTCAATTTTCAAAGCCGCGCAATAAAATAATTGTTTTTGTTTAGCGTGGATCCTTACCTTTAAAGTGATAGGCACATCTGTTTCATTGAAGGGGTTGAGGATCAATACTCGACTAAACACTCACAGAACTGTATGGTACTGAATGTATTCTTGACAATATAATGATAAGATTAACAGTAATGATTATTTGTGTCATTAAACAAAATACATCAAGTAAAATTTTGATATATCTACCGGATATTCGCGATATGAGTGTGAGATAAGAATGGATCAACCCGAATATTACCGCAATAGCATGACTTGGGTTACTCACTTTTTCAGCTGCTGACACACTCCAATCAGAACACTTGTTTTAAATTTCTTTTATAATTGCTCTCTTAGTTCTTCCCGTTGTAATAACTCTCTCCTTTTTTCTTTTATTAATTTATTCTGACTAGAGTCCTCTCTCTCAATCTTGCACTGCAACCGTAACGTGTAATTTGGCAACCCGTCAAACTGTGCCGCGCGAGATCATTCGATTCAAAAATTAAATGCGTTAATAATCACTACGAAGATGTGCGTATTTGTGGTTATTTTTCCCGATACTTGGAACGAAAGATAAACGCCGGGCAGAAGTAATGACTGATTCCGGGATCAGGTATCTGAAGTTCCAAGGAGTTCGCCCCTTGGTCTGATCGTTCACGATGCTAGGACAAGGCTCGTTTTTAATTTTGATAAGTTTCGGAAAGGCGTTTTCGGTCGATGCCCGTGTGCGGGTGGTTCGATGTTGACGTCGCACTATTTAGGCTTTGCTCATCACATTCTGTGGATGAGACTAACGTCCGTAGTTGGGAAAGAAACTGTGTTCTCACACTTGTAATTGTTTGAGGCAGTTGCCTGGATAACGTCGTTCTGATCAGTGCCACAGTGAATTTTCTAAAAGTGTGACTCACTTAGGTAAACTTTGAATTATTGTCTAGTGATCAAAAGTTTGTGTGGGTCATTTAAGTTTCTGAGCCACCCATCTTTTTGCTGTGTCTAATCAGTTTACAAATTATTATAGGATGTGTCGATCTTTACATTACATTACTTCCCCCACCCCCCTCTTTTTTTTTTGTACGAGGTTTTGTTAGCAATAATCTAATATGATGGGCTTGGTAACTTAATATGATAGACTTAATAATCTAATATTATAGGCTGGTGTCGGGGTGACGCGCTTATTGTTGCGTGGCTAAGTGACGGATGTGCCACAACCTGTTTGAGGGCGATCGCGAATCTTCGTTGGTCCGGATCTTCAGTTGATGTGCTGCTCCGCAGTTCTGATGCTGATAGGACTCTCAGGATTTTTTCCTCTTCTTCAACTGGTATGACTGGTGGGGCAACCGAGATGAGCAGTTCCAATTGAATCCCGTTTTCGATTTTTGATATTGACTTCCTCTTGGCAGATTTATGGGACCTGCAACCGACGTATCGCAGCATCCATCTGATCGCGCTGATTGCTGTTGGTGTACTACACAGCATGTATGCGGAGCCCAGCAGCGAGAGGAGTCCTATTCCGCCAATGGATCCGAACGTAATTATTCGGTGACGATAGGATTCCTGCTTTTGTTGTCCTATCTGCTCGATTTCTCTTTGTGCTCCATCCAGACTCATTTCGATTCGCTTTCCTTTGGTGAGTTCGGGCATTGCAAGTAGCCGAATTGTTTATGTGCTATCCTGATTAGAAGTTCCGTCTGAAGCGTTTGTCATCAAATCTTGTTGGTTAAGGTTCACTGTTGGTAGGTGAACTTGTGTTTCATCCGCTCCTAGCACACCTGCATGTGTTATTCTCTCTGTGGGGGTCAGTGCATAGCAGTTAGGCTTTAGAGCAATGATTCCTGTGCCCTTAATCTAGAACGAGGTCATGAATTTCCCGTGGCAATACAGCCTGCCTGTTTCTTCTCCCGTGGTCGAAAATAGCCACTGGTCGGATTTAGCTAGATTGGTCCATTCGGTGCCGGCTGCCGGAGAAATCCTAATGTCACACAGTTTAAAAGACTGTTGCTCTGGTTTCAGTAGCAACATAGCCTCGCATGTTGGTTTCATGGTTGAGCTAGAGATAGCAAACTTCGGCCTACAGATCAATTGTTCTCCCAGTGAGGCACACTGTTCTAACTGGGCTTTTTCCAATTGTGCGTAATAATATCGGTCTTCGGTGATGGCTAAAAAGGGCTTTCTTGGTTGTATCCATGCGGTCATCATCCCATTGGTGGTTTTCTGTACTCTCGCACAGGGGTGAAGTTCCAAGAGTTGAAATGCCTGTCAGCTTAACAATGGTGAAGTAATTATGATTAGTACTTTTCCTTTAGTGTGACCTGTGTGGATTGTGCTGATTTTTGATAGTGCAGGGTAATCCGTCTTGCCCTTAGGGATCGGGAATTCCAGCTCTGAACGGTGTTTCCGGATTTCTTCCGTTGCTTGGTTCAGTTGCTTTGGAGTAAGGAAGGTTTGGGTGATTCTCCCATGTTTTGAAGCATCAATGGCTTCGATGATTTTTCCCGTAGAGCCTCGGACGATTTCTGCAGAATGAATCAACTCGTTGCCTGCATGCTGGAATTTCATTGACATTTCAATTAAAGCAATGGAGCTTGCTTGACGGCTGAGCCCTTGTTGTAGACGTTCAGTGGTATTCCTCAGAATCTTGATGTTTCTCCGGGATATCTCCATGTGATCCATCATCTTGTCGATTTCCGACCTGATTATGTGCGTTGCATTATTCACCAGGTGTGTGATTTGGTTTTGGCCATTGTAGAGCTTGTCAATTTCCTTGTTGATGTGTTCGAAATCGTTGTAATCCATGGTACCAAACAACGATCGTGATATTGATCGGATGAATCCGAGGAATGGAGCTCTTTTCACGGTTCTGCTCTCTTCATCTTTCCTTGCTGCTTGTATTATTTCAGTCAGGTGTTGATCCATTGTTCTTCCTTCCTGCTGTAGTGTTTGATAATGATCGTGTTCCAAATATTGTTCACAATCTCTAAGGCTAAATGTAAAGATACATTGGTCCCAGACAGCGTCATATTGTGGTTTTATGCCCTTAGTGAGTTTTTCGCGTAATGAGGTATAATCAACGGTTGTGATAATCTGCCATTCCTTCTCGATCATTTTCATTCGCCCGATGTCCTCATAGAAAAGTCCTGGATGTTCTTGGATGTATTTGACGTTTAATTGATCTTCGATTTCCGGACGACTACCCAAAGTTAGGGTTAGCAAGATTGACCACAGTCCACAGATTATTGTCTTTGGCCACATTGCTCTTCTTGCTTTTTGGTAACGCAACCTCACGTCGATTGCACTTGTCCGTGTTTTTTTTTCTCACTGCCCCCCCTTTTTCTCTATCACAAAGATACCAAATACAGTCAATATAGTGAGCACCGTTAATCAGGGGCTAACCTGGCTTTATTGGGGTGTCTCATAGTTATCTCACCATTTTCATCTTCTAGATACAGCGTGCCATTTTCGGAAATACCTATTATTTTATATGAGAGTTTGTTATAACTATCGAACTTCCCTTTATGAGGCTCTTTGATTGTATCCACAAATTGCCCTACCTTAAAGACTACTGGTCGCGCGTGTTGGTCGTAATAATTTTTAGATTTTAGCTTGGCATTACGCAGATTGTCCGAATTTTGTCCAAGTTAGTGACCAGCTGCGCGATGTACTCATCATATGTGTCGAGTTCTTTATCATCCGGAAATTCGCTAGGCGCTCGTACTCTCGAGCCGAAGATCAGTGCATATGGGGTGAAGCCTGTTGCCATGTGCTTGCTAGTGTTATAGTTAAACATGGCAAATGGTAGATGGAGGTCCGAGTCCTCCTTCTTTTCCATCAATGTACGCAAATAGTCGGTCAGTGCTTGGTGGCTACGCTTGAGGGAGCCATTCGTTTGAGGTCGGTACCCTGACGTCATTATTTGTTTGACTTTAAAAATCTCGGAGACTTGTATAAACAGTTTGCTAAGGAAACTCGTCCCTCTGTCCGACAATAAGATTTTCGGTGAGCCTTGAAGTGCGTATAGTGTCGTCGCTAGTGCCCACGCTATAGTTTTTGTTCTCAAATCGGGTTCTGCGGCTACTAAACCGTATTTAGTTAAGTTGTCCTGAATGGTTAGAACTTGTAGGTTCCCTCGATCGGTTGGGGTGAGTGCGCCCACTGTGTCTATTGCGAGTCGCTCAAATGGGACCAATGGAGTTGACGTTATCACCATCGGTTAAATAGATTTAAACCGATTGAGTTTCATTTCCCGACAAATCCGACATCTCCTAACGTATTGAGTGACGTCCTGCGTTATCCCAGGCCAATAGAAGCGCTCTTTGATTGCACAGCAGGTTTTAACTATGCCTTTGTGACCTCCCACTAAACTATGTAACGAGATTTTTATCGTTACTAGAGAAAACACTAGTAAAGTCACTGGGTGAAAGGAACGACTTCTAACGGCGGCTGAAAATAGCCGAGCGAATGATGAGTAGAACATCGGACGACACCCAATCAGGCCGCTCCGAAGGTGACTTTGACCAATCACATAGTGGGAAGAAACGTGGTAGGGTGAGACCATGTTTTGGAACACTGTGATGGCGCTGACGATCGCTGTTTCCCAATTCGGAAATCCACCCAGCTGTGTTAGGGAGTCCAGGGCCCACGTACAGGCGTTCCAACTGGGTGGTTCCGAAGGGCGTCGTCGACTTAGACCAGGGACCAACGGCTAGGTGAAAGGACTAGCGCCCACGGGATCCCGTCGAGTTGATTGGTGGCTGTGGGTAACGGATGACCCACAGTCGCTGAGATGCTCAGACTAGGGGGAGAAGGCCCTGGGAGATTTCAGGACAATTTGCGTTGAGTGCTGGTCTCGAGCGGATTTTTTAGGAGCTCGGGATCAGTTGGTGGCAGTAATCCCTGCCGGGATTATGAAGGGTACGTGGTTCCAAGAAATCTTAGAATAGCGAGAGAAGGGGACATTTATGTGTCCCCGATCAGTGCAATGGATTACTTTGAGGCTACGGACGAGAGTCCGAGGCTACAGAGATCCATCTCTAGGGCAAAATCCATGGTGTTGGGGTGGACTAAGGGCTGGGATTCAAGGCGTTTCCCGTCGATCCGGTCGTACGCACCTCCATGGGAAGTAACTCTAGTTTTGACTCGCGATGAGATTGCTATTACCGAGCTCTCGAGTTGGGGTGGACGTTAGGTGGGTGAGAAAGGTCTCCGGATACCTACGTCGCATGTGCCTCGAACAGTTCGGCACCCTGCGGGGTGAGAAGGATTCGCTGGTATTCTGTGTCTTGTCTGGGGTTGAGCCACCCCAGAGGAGAGAGTACCACGTGTGAGGGATGGTCACATCCCTCCACGAGAGTCTCGGGAATACATTCCCCGAAAGATATCGTTGACGATGCCGTAAGCACAGCAGAAGTTAGTGATTGAAGTTACTCGTACGTTGGTGAACCTCGCCCACTCTACCGTGTCATGCTGATGCTGGCTCTGCATTGTGAGACCCGCCACCGAAAGTCCGCGGAGTTGACGAAATTCCTTCGCGGCTGGTTTTCCGTCACGTTTTTCAGAAAAACCTGGCTAGCGCCCAATCGTGAACGATAGAGGCGGCAGCCAGAATAGTTCGAGGAATATCCTGATGTGTGGACCCGGGTAAAATACTCTTACAATTATCATGCGCATCCTTTATTATGCCTATTCTAGATTTTTCGTCTGGAATCTGAACTCTACCTTCGCACATGGTTATACTGACTGAATCTCCATCAAATACTTCTTCAAATAGTGCGCTTACGCTTATAACATCTAATCCGTCTCCTGTTCTTGATAGTCGGAAGGTATCTTGCTTATAGTGAATCAGAGCTTCACGTAGATGTTCCAACCCTAACATGATATCACTTACTCGTGCTTTTTGAAAATGGAATTGCTTTACAATTACTGTGAACGTCCGGTATTTTCCGATTGGTGTCACGAACACGTCTGCGATTTCTGGTTGATGCTTCTTCAAGTTATCTATGTCGATTAGTTTTGTCGTCAAGAGCAGTTTTGCAATGGGGGTCGTTACTTTCAAATACGCTGAGAGGAAGTGCACTACGTTTCCGCGCTTAAATGTAACTGCATCTCTTGTATGTTCGAAAATTGCGGGATTCTCCGGTGGCACCTCTTGCTGCTCGAAAACCTCATCTTCGATCTCTTCGGGTGGTTCTGGGTTTGCTGCTTCACTGGTGACGGGTACTCTAAGGGCATTTACTGATGTTGCTCTTGTCTTTTCTTTAGCCTTATCGCTCGTCGTTTCTTGAGATGATGATGTCGGTAATGTTCTTCTTTCAACCGGAGTTGATGCATTTCGTGATCTTGCTACCATACCAGTTATTAGTTCACTTCATCCGGCTATTTCCACCTTCTTAGTGGGGTTTTTATTCATTGATCTAAGTGAACCTGTTCTCCTCTTTAGAGGCTCTGTTTGACGTTTCGATACTCCTGGTTGCATCGGTGGCGTTACTTTTTTAAACATCGTTGTTGGATAGTTCTCCGAGAGTTCTATTTCGTCATCGGTTTCCGGTGGGTCTACAGGTAATGAAGCCAAGACCTTGGCGATCTGCTTCGTTTTCGCCGGGCGATGGTGAGGAATGGAGTCAAAACCGGATATTTTGGTTTTGAATAGTGCCTTGCGCGTGGTTTCATCCTGAGTATCCTGTAACCACACCACTGCGGCAGATTCTGCGTACAGGTGAAACTGTTGTCCATAAAGGAGCGGCCTGAATTTGTTCAAGGCGTAAACTACTGCCAGGCACTCTCTTTCGTCCTTGGTGTATCTTGTTTCCGTGTCGTTTAGTTGTCTGGAGCCATAGGCAATCGGACCTTCGATTCCTTCGTCGTCCATCTGTGTTAGGATTGCTCCTATGCCTCCACTAGTGGAATTGATTGTAACGAGGAACGGACGATAATTGTCCGGGTGTCTGAGGAAAGGTGCTTGTGAGAGGAAACACTGCAGTTCATCAAAGGCGAGTTGTTCCTTTTTGCCCCATTTCCATTCTGTCTTTTGTTCTATTAGGTTGAATCAAGGCTTTGCTCTCGGCGCGTACCATTCCTTGAACTGATGGAAGTGATTACACATGCCCAAGAAGCTTCGCAGGTCCTGTTTCGATTTCGGCGGAGTAATGTGAGTGATGGATCGAACTTTGGTAGGGTCTGGTCTCATTCCGTCCTTGTCGATGACGTAGCCTAGGAAGTCAACCTCGTCTCTTATTAGATGGCATTTTTCCACTTGCAGAGTGGCTCCATACTCCGACACTCGTTGGAACACCTTACTCAACAATTCACGATGTTTTTCAAGGTTCAAAGTATGTACTATGATGTCGTCCAAATAGACTAGGACCCCATTTCCTACTAAGTCCCCTAGCATCTCGTTCATGCAGCGCTGGAATACAGGACCAGCATTCTTCAGCCCGAATGGCATATGAGTCTATTCGTAGTGACCATTGTGAGTTGAAAATGCTGTCTTCTCTTGATCCTTTAATATCATCGGTATTTGATGAAATCCGCTGGTCAGGTCCAAGGTCGAGAACAAACGAGAACCTCCGAATTTGGACATTATCGCGCGAATGTGGGCCAAAGGGAATTTATCAGCTATTGTTTTCTTGTTCAGGTGACGGTAGTCAATGACCATCCTCCATTGCTTGTTTCCTCTTGCATCGGGTTTCTTTGGGACCATCCATAACGGCGAATTGTAAGGATGGATGGTTTGATTTTGCCCGTGTCCAGAAGCTTATTTACTTGCTTTGTAACTTCTGCTTGTAGGTTCCCTGGGAATCGGTACTGTTCGACATGCACTGGTCGTTCATCGCCTGTCCGGATGGGACACGTCATGCCCTTCATTTCACCGCTTGACTCTCCAGGCAAAGAAAACGCTTGGGAAAATTCGCAAACGAGATCCTCTATTACTGATTTCCTCTCATCTGTGGTCACTGTTTCCGTGAAGATCTGTATAATTTTTCCTACTCTGGTGCTGGCTGAATATTGGGCGACATTGAGAGGAATTTCGAAGTCAGGTTCGCTAAAAATGGACTCAGGAAACCCTAGATGTGAATTGTCAAGTTCGTAAGCAGTTATCATTACTGCCAGTGGTTCGACGGCCTTGGGCGCCAACGTAATGTCAACGCTGATGTCGTTCTCATTAACCATTGTTACCCAGAAGACACCCTGCGAGTCTACCTCTACTTCAGACGGTAGGATGATCAATCGTGGTTGGACTGTCGTCTTGGGAAAGT